TTACTCGTTTGATTTTATTCGGGAAAATTTCTGATGAGACTAAAAACTGCAGTTTCGTAAAAATGTAATGAAGACAATTTAAATTATTAAAATATAGTTTATATAAGAACATAATTCTTAACAGGAAGACAATAGAGGATGAAGAAAAAAAGAGTTATACAAGAATTGACGCAATAATCTTTTATCAATAGTATGCTAATTATTTAAAAATGTAATACATGCATAACAATGTCAAGTGCTCCGATGTAATTATTTTTAAATAAATAAGTATTAATACTTAACACTGCAAAGAAACAAATATATACTGAATAATTCGTGTCACTACTGAAACATGAGTTGAATTACTAATGCAATTCGCAAGTTTCGTAATAATATGAAACTAAAACTATAAAATTCAACACGTAAGTTGGTGTAAAAATAACTCGTCCTGCATGAAGATATGTATTAAATTTTATCGAAAAAAAAATTTTTGTTTGAGTTACATCAGAAATTGTTAATATATGTTAAAACAACAATTCTGTTAACGGGGGAGATTCAAGTAAACACCTACATTTCATTCGGTTTCTATAAATTTTTTTTTCAAGAATAAATCAGTCGAATATTTTGAAATTTGCCATATTATAGGTTAATTTATATTTATAACTTTAATAAATGCTTTTTTTTTTGTTCAAATTCTAATATGACCAATTTACAGTCCTGTCTCTGAGGAGGTCGCAGAAATCTTATGTATTTAAACGAGAAATTCTTGTATATAAATTAGGTTGGGCCAAAAAAAGTGACTATTTTTTTTTCTTAGCTATAATGAAAATATTGTTTGAGATGACAAAAAAAAAAATTCTGTCAAAATTTGCGCAATTAATATTAATATTAAGAGGTGCCAGATTGCAATTTTTTATTTCCCATTTAAAAAACATGGCAAAAAAATTTTTTCATATTTAAAATTTCATTACTCAGGATCTAATCAACGGATCGCAAAGATTGATACTTATTCTGGTAAGGAATTGGACGATCTACAAAAAAGGTCTTTTATGATTTCGCTTATTTTTCGCTTATTCCACTCTGCTCAAAGTTATTTAATGTTAAAGTTTAACCGTAAATAGTTTATCGGCAATTTCACAATATTTTTAATTTTGACATTAAAAATATGATACGAAAATGAAAAAAATATTTTACTTTATAAAATACACGTCACACTTTCTGAAAAAATGTCGAATTTTAACTTCCCACTTTTTAACTTCCCACTAAGAAAATTAAAAATTTTCGAAAATCGAGAAGTTATTGCTTTTACCCCGTTTTTCGAAAATCGAGGTTTGATCAGATCTCGACGTCTTGAGATCCTAGGAAACTTCCCTGACTGTTTTCGCGATAAGGTGTGTGTGTGTGTGTGTGTGTGTGTGTGTGTGTGTGTGTGTGTGTGTGTGTGTGTGTGTGTGTGTGTGTGTGTGTGTGTGTATGTGTGCGTGCGTATATATATATATATATATATATACATTTAATAACATTTACTAAAAATTTTCTTACACCAAACGTCTCCTTTAGCAGCGGGAAAAAAGTAATTGTTAGGTTTCCAAAACTAAATATTACATGTAGTAATTTGGTCAACGGATTAAGAATTTTATATACATGTTATTTTTGCTGATTACATAACTTATAAATTTTTCTTATTGCGGGATCGCGGGAATGTATCTGATTAAAATGAATGCATTTTCCAAACACTGGTCATGTGAAAAGTAAATTTGGCTACCTATTTAAATAGAATTCGTAAAAAAAATGTTGAATTTATTTTCTATAAAATATTGATGTCACTGAGAAAACTTGAAATAACAAAAATAGTATATTACGACCCAAGGCCAGAAAGTTGGATTTCCTGGCGTATGTGATATGATGGCCGAGGCGTAGCCGAGGCTATTATATCACATTCGTCAGGGCATCCAACATTCTGGTCATGGGTTGTATACTATTTTTCTTGCTTTCCAGCCGAAAGTACGCAATCCCGGGGAAGGGGTTTTGCAAAACTGAGGCGAAGCCGAGGTTTTGCCGGGGGTGAGGGGGGCGCCGCCCGACTTTTGTAAAGCCGAGGCGAAGCCGAGGTTTTACTGGTCAGGGCGGGCATAATAAAAAAGTAAAAATTAATAAATAAAAAAAAATAAGTTATTTTAAAGTTTACTAACAAACGCTCTGATCAAGAGAGATAACATGCACAGAACTTGTCACAAATATTTAAACTCGATTTAATAACAGAATTAATTTTTTTAAGTTGATCAAAAATTAGTTTTTAATTAGACGGCTAAGAAAAATTGAAATTTAATTATTAGAAGCTTGTAGAGTACATAAATTGTTTTTTTCGTCTTAGGCGGACGTATGGGGGTTTTTACGCGCAGACGACACTCAATTTGTAAATAATACGCGTACGCGCCAGTATCTACTGGGCTGTATAGAACTTTATACAGTCGAGGACAATGTCACGTAAGCGTCACCAATCTCTATACAGCCGAGTAGCTTACGTTTCAACTGTCATTTTAAATTAAAAAGTGCACCTTTGACTAACTTCAAGACTTTCATGTATTTTTATTTAGAGGATTAGAGGGTTATGGCGTCGTACGCTATTTATTTATAAATTGAGTATCCCCTGCACGTAAAAACCCGCATACGTCCGCCATAGGACGAAAAATTTTTTAAGCACCATGGGCAAGCCACGCGCAAATACGGTCTCGGCGATAATTATT